AAGCTTCGCGCACAAAGGAAAACAAAGTAGCGACTATGGCAGTATATAATATTCCTAGAGTTCAATTTCATTAGGTAAGTGCAAGAACAATATAATATGAATAGTTGTCTGTATTTAATGTAATTTTTTTGATTTATATTTTCCAAGAATTCATAAATGCTTGCTTGAGCTCTCAAAAACATTCAGGCGCTTGCTCTAAATCCGTAACATACTGCCCGAAAATTGCAAAATTAGGATGAGACTACAGTAAAATAATGAATTTTCAAGGCACTACCAAAAAAATATACCTCAGAAGCGTTCAGCTCCGAATTGCTGCTATATTCGTGGATCAGCGAATACATGTGAAGAAAGCTGCATTCGAGGCGGTAACAATGTGTGCTTGAGAGAGTAGGCGGAGCAGGCGAACGCGCTGAGGGTGCACTTATCTAACAGCGTGGGACCTTATTTATCATAGAAAATCTGAGGGGCTTGGATTCAGATGATGAAGGAGGGAGAAGACACGTCATACAACGCTCGTGCCGTGCGGTCCAAGCATGGATCGAAAATAAGGAAAAACGGAGGAGTGGCGTCAGATTCTCCCCGTAATGTTATAAGCTAAAACTTTTTTTTTTAAATTAGTACAGCGCTGAGTGCAAAATGTGCGAGTCAGTGCTTAAAGTGATATGATTCTGATGACGTCGTGATATAATCATACTTATGTTGTTGGTAGGACAATTCAATCATTTTTATTTGATAAATGGCTTGTTATCCATCACGTCTAGATTTGTGACCGTTCACGACGTCGGCTTGCACGCATGTTATGGAGTCGAAGGACTGGATATAATGGAAACCTAGCCAAGCAGTTTTTTAGAACCCCACAAAGGAGCAAAAAGTGTGTTGACTAATTTTTCCTTTTTAGTTTTTCTTCAGGGTCTGCGCAAACGAGGGGACTTGCGCTAAAGAGCTGCTGATTGAGGCTTCTCTAACGATAAGGACTGTGCATTGTGCAGCCTTGTTCGTGTTTTCCAGAGAGCAAACGATGGTAAATAGAACTTCTTTCAGATTATTTGCCCCAAATTTTGATCTACAAAAGTTGCAACGGCAGCTCCAGCAGTTGATTTTTCTCGATGGATGCTCTGTTTTCCATTCTAGGTGTTCTTCTACCGAGCAACTATGCACAGCAATCGTTCAGAAAAATTCAGGGCCAGTAGTGTTTGGGCCAAAAATCGAGTTCAAGGCTGCGCGTTAACTCAGATCAACTAGCTCTAAGTTTCGTTTTTGAAACTTTGACTTTTGTTGTCGAAACCCAGTAAACCAGACTTCAGTTGATTCTTTCGCGCTCACCTATCATAAACTTATCGTGACCTCGCCAGATGCCACCGTAGTATTGGATCATCATGTTCGTAATCAGCATTCGATCAGTTCTGCGACTTTCTTCCGTCTATCGTGTACCCACAGTAACTACTTCTTATAGCCGTGGCGCAAAAAGAAAAAGAAAAAAGAAATAAGGGACGAGTGGCGTAGTGGTCCGAGGCGCCGCTATGACCAGATCGGACGCAGGTTCGATCCCGCCCCTGGGTCAACCAAACTCTCTACCCTTCGGAGACGGGTAAATTGGTACCAGAGTAACCTGGGAGGATAAAAACACTGGCTTGGCAATCGGCTGGCCCCCCGCAAGTCATTGTAAAGGCTCGCACGCATACAGTTGTCCCTTCGACTATGAAGTAGTGTGCGTTCGGCGCATGCTCGCAGAGGGTATTGAAGACGCCGAATCTTTTATCCTTTGTCCTCCAAAAAGAAATACAATACCGTATTTGTAATTAACCGCCAATCAACCTCCTGGGTCGAAAATCTATAAAGCCCAAATTACCCCTACCATGCTTGCTGAAACAGAGAGAAATCAACTCCTAAAAGCTTTCTAGCTGTTCCTCTTCTTTCGTACCCTACTTCCTTTCTCCAACCAATCTCAAAGTTTCCTCCGAGCTTCACGGAAGCCTAAGATGCGTACCAAACTCAATGTATCTCGGGACTCAGCTTGTGCGTTCGGGGCGTGATTTCTTGTGTAAAGCAACTTAGGCTATTTTCCCTACTTGAAATAAACTATTTTTTGCTTTTTAGAGTATCGTGCCATATCACGTTTCCAGATACGGTCTGTTTAACCCATTGACGACGATGTGGCCCACACCCCTTGCAAATTCATATCACTTCCAGATCTAGTATTATTTCCACAGTTCAATATTTCTTCCAATTTTTGGCACTCTTGGAACCTGTAAACTTCGCCGTCCAAGAAGATGATTGTAGTTGCTTATAAGCCAGGTTTACATCCGTAAATAATTACAAAACTTTCCTACGTCAAAAATGTTGTGCAAAATCGCGTCGTCGTCAATGGGCTAAGCAGGTCTAAGAAGGTCTAAAATGCGCGCATTGACTCAGAAATAATTCTGAGTTGACTCCGAGTTCTAGCTTGACGAGTGGTTTAATAATGACCCAGAGTTAGTTTGTCTGATGATCGTCAAGCCCAAAAATTTTCGCCGAGATGTTCTACTTACGGAGATTTTTATGCTGATTAAGATACTGTTCGTTTTCAAGGAATTTTTTTGTAAAAGCAGTCTTATACGGGAGACGGTCTTTTCGCACGGGCGGTCTCCAGCGTCTCCCTGATTTTGACTTGTTTTAACATGTAATGCACGCCGCAAATCTTTCCTCCCGTGTTTTGCGTAGGCAAAAGCCGCCGCAGGGTGTGTCGCGCGCGGCGGTGGTCCTGTGTGGAAAGCATTACGGTCGTGCGAAACGTCACACACCCGTCTTATACTGATCCCATTGTTGAATTCCGGTGACAACGGTTGTTGAAAACAGATTTATGGTTTTTCGTCAAGCTTATCTTGTGTTCTTTCGGCACTCAAAAATGACAGCGCCAATAAGCTTGGCGCACCCTGCACATTCCAAACGGCTGCACGTCAGGAGGTACTCCGCGCGCGGCGGCCGCTCTTCCGCACACGCCGCGTTCAAATCTTGGGGCCTCCAAAGCTCTCCTCCAATAGAGATTCCCGGCGGCAAAAACAGGGGGTGAGTGTGGGGGCAGATACATGACTTAATGCTACAACTAGGGCTGCGCCAGGAGCGCTAGTGTTGTAGGGGCTGAAGTACGTTGCGGCGTCGCTTCGCGAAAAATTCGCGCCGACCGTACCTCCTGACCGTCCTCCATTCCAAACACTACTAACACTTCTCGCCAACTAAGCTTTGTTTGCTTTCCCATTCATGCATGTCAAAGCGCCATACACAGATATCAGTTTACTTGGTTACCAAAAAGATATTCAGATAATCGCATCTCATTCATTCATCATGTACATCATGTATGTCTACTTTTTCCTAACCGCGATGTCACCGTCAAAGTATGAGCCAAAAAAGTCTGAGAAAAGGGAGCAGCGAAGGACTGCATCATCAAAGAACTAGTACGGTAGGAAACGCGCAATTAGCACCCAAAATAGCTTGAGCAATTTACATGGAATGACTGAAGTAAGCGCTCCGTCCTGAGCCTTCGAATATCAATCTTATTTTGAGCCATATAATTAACAAGTGCGAAGATATCTCAACTGTTACAGATGACTAATCCGGCATTCGACTGAATGCTGGGAATTATAGAAGAGTACTAAGGGACGTCACCAGCTCCGACGCTTGAAAAAGGGCATAGTACTCATATAAGTTTGTATGTAAGCAAGATGAATGCTTTAGTGCGCTTTTAGTGACATCAGTGTCTGACACCTACTTAGTAGAGCATACCCTTTGCACGTTGTAAAAGTTGTAAGGAGTTGCCAGTTTTCCTCGTGGAGAGTAAAGTATCGGCGAAATGATGTGCTGGAGTACAAAAATTAGAGTCAAGTCCTAAAAATTTTTCACCTTCGTGTTTATAATTAGCAACTTTGTTGGACTAGAGTACTTGCGCCCGAAATTGAGAATAACTTTACTGGTTACTCCATAACTTTGGCAATGTGTGTTCCCACTGAAAGTCTATAACGTAACAAGTATCGTCGTATACAATGATTTGGATTACCTCATTGTAAGTACAGAAACTACAGTAAGTCGTTTCTTGCAAAGAACTATTCGCAGTTGTCGCCTTTCCTCCTTTTATTCTAAGATCACATTACAACTTATTTTCAAAACTGCCATCGCAAGGAATAAGAATGGGGTTGTATCTCTTTACCTAAAGGGCCATCCAGGGTAGAATTATAAGGTAACAAGTTAGGAAATTGTGATTGAGGAAAGCTTCAGAACCAGCGATCACATTTTTTTAGCCCAAGAGTTTAATGCACTTCTTACTACAATCTGCCTCTCTTGTAACATCTTAAATACGACACTACGAAACGTCCAATCATTTCAAAAAGCTTCATGGATGAGTCATGCTTTTTCTTTACTTATAGCAAGGTTTTGAACTTGAAACTACGCTACAAATTCTGCTACAAAATGCTTGCAAAAAATGAAGCCAAGAAACTGACAAGAGTTCGATCATCTTCTTTCTCCTCTAGTGCTTTTCTTCAACTTATTTCCGGGGAAGGTCGTATTCCTATCCTTTTTTCGTCTAGTGGAAGAAACAAAACGGAAATTGGATATTTTTTTGTAATTTTCTTCTCTTTTACTACAACTTCAGATAAGAAGAAGTAGTCTTAACTATGAATCAAATTAGCATGAAGTCTTGGGTAGAGAACTGCGTTCCATTGGTAAGACCTATGTACATTTTATCGCGAGAATATTATATTTGGGTAATTATTATTTTACTCGCTCCTAGTAATGAAGACGTCTACTTTGTTTGCCTTTCACAATAGTCTGCCAGATCCGCTGGATTTTGGTAGGCAATTCAAAAACAAACCTACATTTATGTGCAAACGTACCGTAAACCCCCCTTATTTATGGGAGCTGATTGTTACGTAAGATTTCAAAGGCCCCAAAAGGATACCAAAATTTAACAAGCTGATAATGTAGACCTTTTGATACTTGTTCTATTGAATGTTAATAGAAAAACAAACCATGCTATTTGTACGCGAATCGTTGCAGCATCGTCACATCGCGTTGTATGCGAAGATCAGCGCTGAAAATCAAAACGAACAGTACAACGAAACGAAAGTTCGAATCAAACGAAGGGTCGAACAGATTACTAGATATTTCTCGGCCATAAAAATCGCATTGTCATTCAAAGAAACTCGAAAGATTGAATGATGAGTAGAATATCTCGTTTCTGACTTGAGGACGCAAACATGAGGAAGCTAGTTGTTGGTTACAGACTTGGTATGATGAGACCACCGTTGCTCGTTTTGAAGTGCATATGGCGAATAAAGTATTATCCCAAAAGTGCAAGAAGTTTCCCATCTGAATAAGGGCAACTGTGAACATTAGCTAAATTATGTTCACCTATGCAAAAGCGATAATTCTCTCTAATTAGCCTCAAAGTCTTTCCTCTCCCAAATACCCTTCACTATAATTGCGCCCCTAACTTTTGGGAAAAAACAGATAACAACAATATTTTCCGTAGCTGCGTATTTATCGTAAAAAACCGTTAATATGCTATAACTTTTCTGAAAGTAAAGTTTTCGAAAGAAGCTGATAACACTGTTGATTTCTAAAAATCTTGTGAATTTTCAAAATTTTCGTTTTGATGAATCTGATGAAAACGTTCTGAATGAGCATAAAGTGCTTCGTGCAAAAGCTTGTTGATTTCTTGGTGCATCTTCTTATTGTAAGTTAAAAACTTGCAAGATATCCAAAAATGTAATCGTAAACCCATAGAACCATGTTTGAGCAACTAAAAGAAGTGCAACTGTTTTGTCGCGACAAATAACTCGCCAGCTTAAATAAAATCATTTTCAAATTTTTATCAAACATTGCAATCGTTAGATTCTTAGCAGTCTAGTGATGTGTTTACAGTTTCTTTTGAAAACTACTTTCAAAAAAGTTTTAGTATTTCACGATAACTACGCAGCGACGGGAAAAGATATCGCGAGTCGTTTTTTCCCAAGAGTTATGTAGGAGCACAATTATACTCAACATTTGCAATCGTGATTTCGGTTCAAAGGTTAGACATAGGAAGTACAGTGTGACAGTTCACTTTCTCGTCCTTGCAGATGTGCACAGATAGATAACTACGAAAAAAAGCATGAATCCTTTAAACCCTTCCTCAAAATTATTTGATTTCAATGAAGTAGAAGTATACGTAGCGTAGATCACTCGAAAGCACTTGAAGAACTCTTTCAAAAGATATATAAAACATCGACGATGCTTGGTCTCACTGTATGAAAAGAGCTGAAGAATGACAGGCTATTTCAGCAATGCTGTGAAGTGCTAAAGCGGTGATTAAAGCCAGAAAAATCGTATAAAATTAATTTCAGAAAATCTTGACACTGTGAAAGATTCTTAGAAAGCTCCTATTTATATACGTCTTCTTGTAATTTTCAATACTGCCTCGTATTGAAGTAGAAGATTCAAGGATTTGGAAAGCGGACTGTCTACAAGATTTCAGAATAAAACTTTTTTCAGAGCAGCTTATGAAATCGCACAAAAAATAGCAGTTGCAGTAACTGACAGTGAGACGAACACGCTCAAGATATAAAAGCCTCTCAGCAAAGTCCCAAATATTACAAAGAAATTATAGCAGTGACAAGATCTGGAACGGAGCAGCTGTTTCAAGTCTTCTTTGTATGAGCTCAGCAAACTCCAGAAGTCTCGCCATTCCAGACATTGCCATAATAAGTGTCATCCGGCAAACAAATATGCAATTAAATCTCCTTTCAATGTTTTGAAAAGCATTTTAGCTGTAGGCTTTCCAGACTTTATAGACCCTCGTAGCGTTTTATACTTTATAACAATATCAAACATATGAAATATCAGCTCAAGGGCCATTCATTCGGCATCCCTACTTATAAGGGCGTTCATAACATATAAGAAAAAGTGAGCCAGTAAGACAACAAAAGACCTGAAAGGCGACAAAAGCAGCAACTTCAGGAGAATAAAAACGTTGCTCTTCTGGTAATCCCACTCCTCAATTTTTACATTCGGCTGGAAGCCAAGAAATCGTCTAAAAAAGTCGATTCTCTTTAATTCTATTCCTGTCTTTTCAAAAGAAAAACTTCAATTTACTTTGAGGAACTATATTTGAGATATCTTAGACCTCGATATTCCAAGTAATTAAGATTGGAATATAAACACTGCATGCCATTATATGTGGGTGAATGAGATTTTTTAGCAGTGGTTGAATCAACCACCTACGAAAGAGAGCTCATGAAAGGCTTTCACAAACTTTCCAAGTGCGGGGGTTTGAAAGACTTAGAAAGTGCACTCCTATCAATTCAATCTGATCGTTATAATATTGTGAAAGGTGTTATATTTATTTTTAAATGCTTCGGCTAACAAGGAAAGGATACCTGATCGAAGTGGCGTCTTTATACTGCTTTTTTATACTGCAAATCTTTGCTTGCTTTGGATTTGCTTTCGGATTTTTAACTTCGGATATGCTTCGTTTTCATTCTATTGGAAAGAAGAAGTTTTCGTCTTTGTAGTCGTGTCTCGACAAGGTTCTAGTATAAATTCATCGCAAAGATAAAAATGTAGAAAGAAGACCATTTGAGCTTTAACCATTTTGAGATAAGTCGCCAACAATTTGGAAAGCTGCGAAAAATCTGAAATTGCCAGCACATAAGCTTTGTGACCTTCTCTCTGCAAATGAGAAAAAAATGTACTGTTTGGAGTTTTCAATGTAAAGTTATGATTTTCAAGTTTATAATAGAAAATACCAAAATGGATTGAATTGTCGCTTTTCTCGAAAATCATAACTTTTCATTGAAACCTCCAAATAGCGCAATTTCTTCTCGTATGCAGACAGTAGATTATAAGACTTATATACTAACAATTTTAGATTTTTCTGCGGGGTTTTAGACTTTTGGCGACCTAAGTTGAAATGGTCGAAGCTTAAGCGGTCCTCTTCTTCCATTTTTATCTCTGCAATGGATGTATAGTTGAAACTCACCGAGATACAATACCGCTCACATTTTTTGAAAAATGGACGCGAAGTATGGACATGTATGGACATGTATGTCCATACATGTCCATACATGTCCATACTTCGCGTCTATTTTTCAAAAAATGTGAGCGGTATTGTATACTAAGATGAGGACTTCTTTTTTCTGATGAGATTTGAAGAAACACATCCGTTCTGGCAGCAAAAAGTTACAAGTTTTCAAAACCGACAGAACTTTCGGGAAAACCTAACAGATAGCGCTCTAGCAGTAACCCTATGGCACATAAACTACTTCCGAATAATTTTATTATGGACGCGCGTTCAAAATTTTGCTCAAATAATCCCTATAATTCCCTTTTCAAAGCGCTTTGCAGATTTCGAAGGCAGATTTGGAATCAGCTTTCTGTGCTCTATAAGACAGTACACACATTTCATATGGGAACACCATTTCGACCAAGTTTCCCAGCACATATAACTTCGAAGGAAATTTTCTCTGAAGATGAAGAATTCATTTGTTCTTTAAGTTAATTAAATTGTTCCTGTGAATAGAGCCAGGATTTACGGGACTCTAATATGTTGGTCATAATCCTGGCATCAAATTGTGGATTCGTTTCAAAAACGTAGAAACTTTGAATTCGTACCATATATTAGGTCGATCCGAAAGTTTTTTCCGTTTTTCAGCCTATCACAAGAAAGGTGGATACAAGCACGCAGACGTCTCAAGTACTACCCGACGCAGCTTTTCTTCCTCTTTCTAGCATCCATCAGCTGCTGTGCTGGTTACCCCTGCGATCATGTAACACCGAATTTCGAACCTATGGTTAAATCACCAAAGTTAAGGTAAAAACCATGTCCAGCTTTGGTAATTTTTCACAATCTTCCTATTGAAAAAGCTTTGATTGCAGCCACATAGCGTAAACAAAGTGCAATGCAATGCAATATTTTGGCACCCGGAGTTGGCTTTTCGAAATTTATGAATTCATACTGTTGATGCTATCAGATCCCCTTTTTGTCATCTTAAAACTCATAGAACTTCAAACGGCGCACATCTAGGATGTCATTTAATAAATATTTGTCTCCTTTTCCGACAAGCGTTTTTTTCCAATTTGTGGAGTCTTTGGCGATAATCATAATTCTTGAATTCGAACCCGCTCCAGGCTGTACCCATAAAATGCAAAATTTGATTGATCGAAGCGGTAAACGCCCATTGCTTCTTGGAATTGGTGTGTAATCATGATCGATTTATGAAAGTTGCAAATTCGATTTGCTAGTGTTTGAATCGCTTGAGTATTTTGCGTCGCAAGATTGAAGACATTTGAAAAGGTTATTTTAGGATACTGAAAAGCCATTCGGAGAACCCAAAGACTTGCACTGCAATGCACTTTGCTTAAGCTGTCTGATTGCTACCAGAGCTTCCAAAATTCAGAATGAAGATTTTTGCCAAAATTGGACATGTCAAAACCATGAACTCGGAATTGCGATCATTCCACTGACCTCAAGGATAGCGAGCACAGGAACATGATTACTAAAAAGAGGAAGAAAAGCTGCATGTAGTGTATGGAACGTCTGCCTGCCTCTGTTCTACGTTTATGATAGGCTGAGAAAACGGAAAGAACCTTTCAAACGACTTAATATTTTTGCAAGGTAAATTTTCCATTTCACTATGCATATGAGCGATTCTAAACGGAGACCGGAAGGATAAGTAAAAAAGTTGTCATATCGGATTCACGCAAACCCCTCTTCTTTTAAAAGAGTAGGTTGTGAAATCACAAGCAAACAAACATCGATTTTCTTGGGCCTCTCAGCATTGTTACGAACAAAATTCAAAATAGTACGAACTGAGGGTTCTTCATGGAATGCCAACCTTGACTTCTGCTCTGAGCATTATTAACGTGTATGGTTTTCTCATTCTAAGCTCAGCTTAACTTGTTGTTTGTAAAGAAGATCGCGATTTTCTAGATGGCTGCAGGATTCTTGAAGCAACCCATTACCTGCTCAAAATACCGACAAAGTTGATGATCCTTGGATAGAGTTGATCCTTGTTTATATTTGTATCTGTTGTAATACATAAACGCATTAA